ACACATATCCCCATACCTACTCACACAAACATGAATAGTTCTCACTTTAGTTGTGAAAAATAAAAAACAATAACGCTCATGTGTTTTCGGGGTGAAATATGGAGCCACTCAACCTAAGCATAGCATGCATATCAACTTCACACAACCGGCCTCTTGAGGCTTGCAATGCAACTTTCTCCTCTTTTAGTGATTGATGCAAACACGAAAATCATGAAATCCATATTAGGTAAGCTCGGTAAATAAGGGTTGGACGACGTAATTTGGGAATGTGGTGCTCAAAATAAAACAAATCCTAATCCCACTACACATTCAAATGTCGGGTTCGATCCAACCTTATTTCCTCCAATCTCCATACAATTATGAACATAGCCCTTTTATTCTTTCTTTGCCTCATTTTTTTCTTCTTCTTTTTTTTTTTCACAAAGAGGAGGGAATTAATAAATTAAAGCGAATGGAAGAACTCTCAATTTTTTCAAAGGCCTTTAAGGCCATTTTTCTTTTCTTTCCTTTCTTCCTTTTTCTAATATCCCCTCTTTCTCTTGTTTTCTTTCCCTTTTTTTTCGGTTTTTTTTTTTCAACATCATTCACACTCATAGGGGTTAACAAATGTAAAACACCTTCAAAATAAACCTAGAAAAATAGCTCTAAAACTTTAAATGTAGGGTATCAAGAAGGGGTTAATATGGCTCAAATTGGTTCAACCTACGGGTGAATGTAAAATAAAAATAAAAAAAAACAAAAAGAAAAAAAAAACATGAAGGCCTAGAATGTGGAGGCTCTAAATTCTACAAGGAAATTTCAATCATCTTTTCGCGACATGCATCATAAAGTCTCAAATAGTCAAAAAGCAAGACCAAGAATTCGATTATGTGAAGGACAATCTAATCACACAAGAAGAAACATGACTGAGGTAGAGTGAAATCAGTCAAATAAGGCTCAAGACTCTCACCGGGTACACAAACTATTCACATAAGTAGAGCGGGGAGACCATCCTGGCCACTACCTAGCTCAATTCCAAGCACATCAATGAATGGGTTTTCGAAGACTCTCTTTTTTTCAAAAAGCACACAAATGTGATTATAATCATAGAAGCATAGTCATGCAATGGCATATTATTCGACATTAGAGAGAAAAAAGAAACTACCCAAAAACTGAAATAAAACTAATATATACATGGTGAAAAGCAAATCCTCCCCCAAGCTAAACCATACATTGTCCTCAATGTATGCATAAACCAAGGCAAATAAACAAGGGGAGGGGAAAGACAAACTACTGATCAGGGGGGGGGTGGGGGGAAAACCATACCTCGGGTCGGTACTAGGACCGCCCTAGAAGTGCTGTCTCATCATGCCCCCTATATCATAGAACTGAGACTGGAAGGCGGCAAGTTGATCTCACAGGTCGCCGAAGGTGGTCGCCATGCTATCATGGGACATCGACAGATTTGTGACCGCTCTCTGGGTCTTATTGACGTCCCTCCTCAAGTCACCCATGCTTAGCACAACATGGTTGAGATTGGCCCTCATGGAGGCTATTTGCTCCTCCAAAGTAGGTGGGGTGTGGGTCTCCTGATGTGGAGCATCCTGCTCCATGTGTGCATGTCCCTCACCACCATATGCTTGCCCCTGTCCTCCATAAGCATGCCCCTCACCACCAGGCAACTGGGCTCCTTCTCCCATAGGCATCGGGACTCCCTTCCCAGTCTGTGGTGGCCACATGAAATCAGGAGGGATAATCCATGTATCCCTCCCGGTCACCTGAGGGATCCCGAACTTCGGGAGGTAAGCATAAGGAACCGGTCGGGGTAGAGTGGGACGCCCGACCAACCACACAAAACCTTGGGCGTTGCGGCGCCTCTTCACCCAGCACATCTGCTGGAAACTCTGAAAGCTCATCGTGGTGGGGCCTCCAACCCTGTACTGGTCGATACCTGTCCAATCCTGCACATAGCCAACAACCAACAAAGAAAGCATACCACCTATAGCAATCTCCCCAGATCCCATGGCTACATTATATAGGTGGTCTAAAAACCATGCCCCAGGGTTAATCATGTCTTCTGCCTCAGTGGGGGTCGGGGTGGCAAAGCAAATGCCATAGAAAATAGAGTTCCTTGGCCGAGCAAACTCCTCCTGTGTTACATCTAGCAAAAAGGGTCCAAGAAAAGAGTCGGCATATAAGTCTCATGGCCGGGTGAACTATACATGAGGTCTTGGAATGGCTAGGGTAATAGTCATCTAGCCCAGTCAAATCCCGCCACATGTTAAGGTCACTGTAGCCGGTCAACCTACTGTAATTTGGTCTACCTATTTGGCCGAAGGTGGGGAAGCCTAACAGGACATTAACCTCCCTCACCGTAAGGGTGTGACGTTCACCAAACAAGTTGAAAGAAACGTCCCTAGGAGTGTGGCCGTCCGATCTACGGCGGACCTCTAAGGTAGAAAGGAACTCATAGGTGATATTGGAGTAGGTGTTGGCATGTTTGGCTAAGAAACCGTCCCAACCTAGTTGGTTAAGAATGCGTTGAACCTCACCTCCCATACCCAAGCTTTCCATGGCCTCTTGGTCAAAAAACCGTGTAGGCACTAAGGGTCATGATCTAATGCGAAGAAAATTGTTTAAGTGTTCTTCATTACCCTTAAAGTCGATCCCAAAAGTCTCGATGGGTGGGATATGGGCAAGTGATGTGGGAGAAGGTTGTGGAACGAGTGGGGTTCTAAGGCCCTTGGAAGAGGTGTTCCTAGGCCTATTTCTTCTTTGGTGAGATGAGGATGCCATGATTTCAATTAGCAAACAATGTGTATCAATTCAAGCACACAAACAAGCAATCAATCAACCACAAATTCACAAGGGTCCACAATAATTTAACAATACTCCAACAATGCTTCAAGATTAATAATGGTTTTTCAATCACACCACACCAAAATATAATCACAAATATCCAAACAAATAGAACAAACCAAACACAATTAACAATCTCCAACAATTTTTTTATGAACAATTGTTAGCAAATTATTCATGAAAACCTAGAGAGAGAAAGTGTGAGAAAAGGGGTTACCCAAGGTATGCTGGATGTTGAATACCCACAAATGATCCACAATTGACGTATGTAGCACCCTTGAATCCTTTCCTTGCCTTCCAATTGCTCCAAAGGACTTTAAATCAAAAAGCCCCAAATTGATTTTTGAATCTAGGGTTCTTGAAAAAATTGGTTAAAATTGTGTTTGGGATGATTTTTGTTGATAATGGAGTGTGAGAATGAAGTAGAAGGATGAGAATGTTGGAGATTATGTGAAGAATTGTGAGTTTGGGTGATGGATTGAAGAGGGGAAGGCCAAAAATCTTGAGTGGAAGGAGAGGAGAGAGAAACTCTTGAGTTTGAAAGTGGGGGAATTGTAAATGAAGGAGTAGGGATTGTGAAGCCCGTGCCTCTATTTCAGAGGGGGCACGGACGTGCCTTATGGGAGGCACGGACGTGCCTTATGGGAGGCACAGACGTGCCTCTTCAGAGATCAACTGTCAAAAACAATCTGCCTCAGGGGCACGGACTTGCCTCCTATGCAGTTTTAGTTTTTTTTTTTTTTTTTTTTAAATAATAAAAAAAATAAAATAAAAAGTAAAAATTAAATACGGAAAACTGAGGCACGGACGTGCCTCTCTAAACTTCCATCTCCCCAAACTTTCTGCCTTAGACGCACGGACGTGCCTCTGCAGAAATTGAATTTTTCTCCTTTTCCTTCCTTTTGGCGCTTTTCCTCCTTGTTTCTTCTTCCTTTTGCTCACTTTTCACCTAAATAAATACCATAAACGACTCAAAAACTAAAACACAAGAATCAAACCAAATAAATTAAAACGAAAAAGGAAAATAAAAATAAATAAAATAAATAAAAACGCCAAAAATAACGAACTAAAAGTGAAAACTAGAGAATGGGTTGCCTCCCATTTAGCGCTTGTTTATGAGGTATTTAGCTCGACCGTATGGCTTCTCATGGGCTTGGTGATGGGGACGAGAGTGTGATGTCCACCCCCTCATCGATGGGATCACCGACTCGGTAGTGCTTCACTCGTTGTCCATTGACTTTGAAGGGTTCCCCTCTTGTGTTTTCTAACTCAATCGTGCCATAGGGGAAAACTTTTCTAATCTTGAATGGTCCCGACCATCTAGACCGAAGCTTTCCAGGGAATAATTTTAACCTAGAGTTGAAAAGAAGGACTTGATCCCCTTCTTTGAACTCCCTTCTCACAAGATTCTTGTCATGCCACCTTTTTGTCTTCTCTTTGTATAGCTTCGAACTCTCATAAGCATCAAGGCGAAGTTCATCCAATTCGTTGAGTTGCAACAACCTATTCTCTTCTGCTGCTTTGGCATCAAAGTTCAAGCTTTTTATGGCCCAAAATGCCCTGTGTTCTAGCTCAACGGGGAGATGGCATGCTTTACCATAGACAAGCCTGTATGGGGTCGTACCAATTGGTGTTTTAAAGGCCGTTCGGTACGCCCATAGTGCATCGTCTAGCTTCACAGACCAGTCCTTTCTTGTTCGCGCAACAGTTTTCTCTATGATGGACTTGATCTCTCGGTTAGACACTTCTACCTGGCCACTTGTCTGTGGGTGATAACCAATTCCAAGTTTGTGGTGCACTCCACATTTTTTCAACATTGCCTTGAATCGATGCTCCAAAAAGTGTGTTCCCCTGATCAAAACACGTGGTAAACCAAAACGAGGGAAAATAACTTTCTTGAAAAACTTGCTTACCACACGAGCATCATTGGTTGGAGTAGCTATTGCTTCCACCCACTTTGAAACGTAATCAACAGCTAGCAATATGTAACGGTTGCCATGGGAGGAGGGAAACGGACCCATGAAGTCTATCCCCCACACATCAAACAACTCGACCTCGAGTATGTTATTAAGTGGCATCTCGTTCTTCTTGGAAATCGTGCCTGTCCGTTGACATCTATCACATGCCTTGACATAAGCATAAATATCTTTGAACATCGTAGTTCAGTAAAATCCACATTGCAAAACTTTAGCAACTGTTTTCGAGGGGCCTGCATGTCCACCACAAGGTAGGTCATGGCAATATGAAATAATATTACTTATCTCGGTTTCTGGAACGCATCTACGGATCATGGTGTCTGCGCATTCCTTGTAGAGGAAGGGATCGTCCCAGTGGTATCTCCTTACTTCAGAAAAGAATTTCTTCTTTTGTTGAGAAGAATAGCCATGAGGCATTGTACCTGTGGAGAGAAAATTGGCTAAGTCAGCAAACCAAGGGGATTCAGTCTGTAATAAAGCTAATAAATGTTCAGCAGGAAAAGAATCATCAAAAGGGATATCATCTCCATCTTCAGGGTCAAGGAGAAGACGGGAAAGATGGTCTGCAACGACAATCTCTGTTCCTTTGGTATCCCTGATTTCGATGTCGTAATCCTGTAGCTGGAGAATCCATCGAATCAGCCTTGGTTTGGCATGTGTCTTAGTCATCAAGTACCTCAATGCTGCATGATCTGTATGAATGATGACCTTGGAACCTACCAAATAAGAATGAAACTTGTCAATAACATATATAACTGCTAACATCTCTTTTTCAGTTGTGGCATAATTCATTTGAGCAGAGCTTAAAGTCTTGCTAGCATAGTATATGGCATAAAGCTTCTTCTCCTTCCTTTGCCCCAAAACAGCTCCCACCGCATAATCACTAGCATCGCACATGATCTCAAACGGCAGACTCCAATATGGGGGTTGCATGACTGGAGCAGTGATTAAAGCTTCCTTCAACCTGTTAAAAGCTTCAAGACAAGCATCAGAAAAGACAAAAGGGACATCCTTGGCCAATAGCTCAGTTAAAGGTCTAGCAATTTTCGAAAAATCCTTAATAAAACGCCGATAAAAACCTGCGTGACCAAGGAAGCTTCGAACTCCTTTTACAGAGTTAGGGGGTGGTAAGCGCTCTATAACCTCTATTTTGGCCTTATCAACCTCAATCCCTTTATTAGACACAACATGACCTAAAACAATTCCCTGTTGAACCATAAAATGACATTTCTCCCAGTTTAAGATTAGATTAACTTCTTTACATCTTTGGAGCACCTTTTTTAGATTTTCAAAACATACATCAAAGGTTGTTCCATAGAAGGAGAAATCATCCATAAATACTTCCATAGAGTTTTCTATGAGTCCTGAGAAAATTGCCATCATACATCGCTGAAAAGTGGCAGGAGCATTACATAATCCAAATGGCATCCTGCGATATGCAAAGGTGCCATATGGACATGTGAAAGTAGTCTTTTCCTGGTCACAAGGACAGATGGGAATTTGAAAGAAACCTGAATATCCATCCAAGTAACAGAAAAAGGAATGCTTTGCCAACCTTTCAAGCATCTGGTCGATAAAGGGTAAGGGGAAGTGATCCTTCAAGGTGGCCTTATTCAACTTCCTATAATCTATACACATTCGCCATCCTGTGACAGTTCTAGAGGCGACTGGCTCACCCTTGTCATTCTTAACAACGGTCATACCTCCCTTCTATGGTACTACTTGTACAGGGCTAACCCACTTACTATCTGAGATAGGGTAGATTATACCTGCAGCAAGCAATTTCAGAACCTCTTTTTTAACTACCTCCATCATATTAGGATTAAGTCTTCGTTGAGGTTCTACAGAAGAGGCATGATCGTTTTCAAGAATGATCTTATGCATACAAAAAGAAGGATTAATGCCCTTGATATCATCAATGGTGTACCCAATGACACTTTTATATGTTTTCAAAACGTTGAGCAATTGCTCCAATTTTGTGTCCTTGAGTTCAACATTGACAATAACGGGATATGAATTATTGGGACCAAGATATGCATATTTTAAGTTAGAGGGGAGGGGTTTCAACTCTACCTCGGGAGGCTTAGAACTCTCCCCAATACTCATTGCTTCCAATGTCTCTCTGATCGGGTTCTGATTTGGATTGGCCTTTGCTTCATTAAGTAACCTGGTATACTCCTTAGACTGCCAATCTCCACTATCATCTTCCTTCCCTAATAGCACTTGTTCGAGGGCATCATCATTTTGATTCAAGGGAAGTTGCTCGTTCTGCAGCTCATCGAGCACATCAACCTGACAAACAGTGTCTCCCATAGAAGGGGCACCCATAACATTCAAAAGTGAGTATTCCAATTTCTCATCACCTACTTCAAAAGTAATCTTACCTTTCTTCATATCAATAATTGCACCTGCAGTAGCTAAGAAATGTCTACCAAGTATAATTGGAACATTCACATCTTCATCCATCTCCATTACAACAAAATCACAGGGGATGAAAAACTTACCTACTCGGAGGGGTACATCCTTAAGTACGCCCAAAGGAAACTTCACTGACCTGTCTGCAAGTTGCAGAGATATGTGTGTGGGTTTGAGTTCACCCATCTGCAACTTCTTGCATATTGACAGTGGCATGAGGCTCACACTTGCACCTAAGTCACATAGCGCCCTGTTGATCTCAATATCTCCAAGCTTCACTGGAATTGAATAGCTACCTGGATCTCCTAATTTCTTAGGGAGAGTGTTCTGTAAAATAACACTGCACTCTGCATTCAAAGCAACTGTAGTATTCTCTTCTAACTTCCTCTTATTAGATAGCATATCTTTCAAAAATTTTGCATAGGAAGGCATTTCAGATATGGCATCTAGAAATGGAATATTAATATGAAGCTTTTTAAGTACATCAAGGAACTTACTGAAATTTTTCTCAAGTTTAGCTTGTGCTAACCTTTGAGGAAAAGGAACCTTAGGCACATACGGAGCAAGTGGCTTTGGTGGTGCTCCCTGTGAATCATCCTCGACCCTAGAGTTGTCAACTTCCTTTTCTCTTGCACCTGCTTCTTCAACAACCTCCCTTGATGGCTCCTTTGTATGAGATTGTTTAGTCTGGCCCGGGAAGGTTCCTGGAGTCTTTAGGGCTTGGCTAAATTGGTTGGCCAATTGGCTTATCTGATTCTCCATAAGTTTACCCTGAGCTTGCAACTGTTGGATAGAGCTATTTTGATGTTGGATAGCACTGTTTGTTGCGGTTATAAAGCTCTCTAATGTCACCTCTAGGCTTGATTTCTGAGGTTGTTGTTGCATTGGTTGTTGGGCATTGGTTGTTTTCTGTTGGAAACCAGGTGGTGGTTGGTTGTAGGTGTTGGATGGAGGTGGTGGTGGAGGGTTTTGTTGTGCTTGGGAATTTTTGTATGAGAAGTTAGGATGGTGTTTCCATCCCTCATTGTAGGTGTTGGAATAAGGGTCATAAGGTCTCTTTGAGTTAGAGGAGTAGAAAGCATTGGCTTGCTCGATTGACATCTCTTCTGTATTCTGCGAAATCTGTGGGCAATCTGGAGCAACATGACCCTGCACATGACATAACTGACACAACTCCTGTGGGGTGTTAGAAGTTCCTGCTTGGAACTTATCAAACCTGCTTGTTAGTGCTTGAACAGAACTAGTTAGCATAGTTAAAGCATCAACATCAAATTTACCTCCCTTTTTCACAGTGTTTCGGCCTCCATCTTCTCTATGAGCTCCCTAGCTTCAGTGGGGTTCTTTGTCAAGAGAGAACCTCCTGACGCGGCATCTATATAAATACGGAACTCATGAGTCATGCCATTGTAAAAGGTTTGCATCAAAATCCAATCTGGAATGCCATGGTGAGGGCATTGTCTCTGTAATCTTTTAAATCTCCTCCAAGCCTCATCGAGAGACTCATCATCTGACTGCTTAAAAGTTTGTAGCTCATTCCTCAATCTTTAAGTCTTCTCATTCCCTAAAAACTTCACTAGGAAGGCTTTCACTAACTTGTCCCATGTATCGAACGAGCCAGTACCTTCATCTCTTTACCACTCCTTTGCCCTGTCTCGAAGTGAGAAGGGAAAAAGGCGTAGTCTGATTGCATCATCTGTAACACCATTCAACTTCATAGTGTCACATTTCTCCAAAAAGCTATCTATATGGCTTATGGGGCAATTGTGTAGTAGCCTTGCAAATGAATCATTGGAGATGAACTGTATGAATTGTGGCTTGAGCTCGAAATGCTGAGCCGTGACTGGTGGTCTTATGATGCTTGAAAGGACTCCGGTAGTCGTATCAGGAATACCGTACTCCAAAAGGGATTTCGTTGGTTGGTCTACCATGTTTCTATTGGCTTGATTTCTCCTTCTTCTTCTACCTGCCCGTCTTCTTGCGGTTGCTTCGATTTCAGAATCAAAAGGTGCTAGATCTTCTGAACCTGAGCTTCGTGTGGGCATGCAACAAGAAAACTAGAGAAAGAGTATCAAAAACACAAGTGAAAGTAGCCGAAGCAACGAAATAAGCCTAGCAAAAATGAATAACAATTAATCTAGTGAAACCGTTAGTCCCCGGCAACGGCGCCAAAATTTGGTAGGCGTGTCGCGTACCTATCAAAAATAACCTAACAAACCAATACTAATGTAGACTGGAAAGCAAGGGTCAGATCCCAAGAGACTAAGGTTCAAAAATAATTAAATAGACTCGAATTTCTACTAAGCAAGAATCAATTATAATCGATAACTAAGGGTCTAAAATATAGGAAAAATTCGAAAATAAACTAAGTAAGATGATTAAATCAAGCAATTAAAAACATCCAAGATCTTAGTTTCACCACAATTATTATTGAAGCAATTGTAATTCTACCCTTAACATACGAATTCAATTGAATGGGGAAAAGTAAACCCTAATAAATACCAAGGATCTCTCTCGAGTATCAATGGCTTCCCTAACATACAATCAATCCTATTCTCATGGTATCATGCATATTAAAGACAATAAACACGTTACTCTCACTTCCCAATTATCAAACCCAACTACTCTCGTGTTGAGAATCAAACCCTAAATTGATTTACTCAATTCCGTTTATACCCAACTCTCGCTGTGATAAAAACAATGGAATAATCGCAATACTATAGTTACGTCTAACCTAGCATTGGCATAATCACAATCAATTTAGCAATTCAATTGTTAAAGTTATTAAAGAATTTAAAGATTTAATTCATGCATCAATAATAATAGGGCTACACTAGATCTTGAATTAAAGAATCTACTCACACATGATTAAAGAAACAAAAACAATAATAAGTAATGAAAACATAATTAAATAACAAAGGATGAAAAATAAATACCAAATCTTGAATAAAATTAATAGTAGAAACCTTGAATCTTGAATTACAAAACTTAGAAAATAATAATTGGATAACTAGTTCTTAATGAGAGAATAAAATAAAATATGGCTTAATGAAAATTCAAGAAAAACAAGGCTAAAAAGTATTTATATGAACCTAAAAAAGATAAGAAAAACGGCTAATCCTTGGCGCACAAGAATCCCAGGAGGCACGGACGTGCCTCCTCATAGGCACGGACGTGCCTCCTCATAGGCACGGACGTGCCTCTTTACGTAGCAAAATTGCTGCAGTTTCTCTCTTCCAGGCACGGACGTGCCTGATGCTGGGCACGGACGTGCCTGCTTCTTCACTTAGGCACGGACGTGCCTCTTCTGCTAAGCACGGACGTGCCTAGGGTCTTCTTTTGGCGCAACTTCTGGCACAGAGGCACGGACGTGCCTAATGGGGAGGCACGGCCGTGCCTACCTCTAAAATGCCATTTTCTTGACTTTTCTTCAATCTCCAAACTCCATGGGCTTTGACTTACTTCGTGGATCTATAATTCATCCAAATTAGCTCCATTATTCCTGAAAATCATCAAAAACAACAAAACTACCCATAAAAGCATCGGATTATCCAAAGTAGAGCAAAATACGCCAAAACGGACTCAAATACTCAACTAAACTAACAAAACTAACTAAAAACCAACCAAATAACATACACAAAACACGACTTATCAGGTGCCGATGCTTCCCGGTTACCCTGAAGGGCATTGCCCAACGGTGGTTTAGTAACTTACCATCCGGCTGCATCAACAACTTCAAGACCTTGGCGTACTTGTTTACGTCAAACTTCTCAATGAACATCCCGGCTACAAAGACAAGCCTCGATCTGGGGGCAATACAACAGGGTGACCGAGAAGGGCTCTGATCGTATGTCAGGCGGTTCAATCTAATGAGAATTCAGATTCAAGGGCTATCTGACGAAGTTGCTTACACAGACTTCTTTAAGGGTCTGAAGGATGGGTCAACCTTCAAGTTTGACCTCGTCCGGAAAAGGGTAGCCACCCTCCAAGAGGCGTTAATGGAAGCTGAAGCCTACATACAGGCGACGGAGCTTTGTGCTGTAAGGCAGCCGTCGGATTTCAAAAAATCCGACAGAAGAGACAGCCGGCAACAACAACAACAGCCGGCTAAAAAGGAAGAAAAGAAGAGAAAGGAGGTCTGGGCGGCAGACCGATTTGGTCAGCCGGCTCAGAAGCTCAGACGGAAATCTGAACCGTACGTTCCCAAGTACGAGTTCACAAAGGACTGCTCCTCCATCCTCATGGAGATCAAGGACCGGATGTCTCTCGACAAAAGAAAATGCTGCCAGTACCATGAGGATGTTGTCCATGACACTAATGGTTGCTATAGCCTCAAGCGGCTATTAGACCGTCTGGCTGATGAAGGGGCTCTAAAGTCTTATCTGCCCAAAGCCAAGGGCAACACCCTGGCCAAGAAAGGGGAGGTGGAAAAAGCTGTTCTTGCCAATTCAGAAACGGATGAAGAGACAATCTTCACAATAGCAGGCGGCTTTGCCGAAGGGGGTCCCACTATCCGGGGCACCAAAGATAACATCAGGAAGCTGGTTAACTCAGTTGAGGAGACCCAGGCTTCGAAAGACATCTTTCCTAAGGCAAGGTCAGGCGGCCTCACGATGACCCATAGTCATCGAAGCAAGGTTGCCAATCAGAGAGTTGGCCGGATCTTAATAGATACCGGGAGCTCGTCTGACCTAATTAGCTATCAGTGCTTGATCAAGCTCAAGTACAAATCCAATAGCATGCACCAGGTGCCCCACCCGCTTGTTGGTTTATGGGGAGGCGTAGTGCATCCGATAGGAAGCATAGATCTTCCCACACGGCTGGGTGAAAAGGGGGAAGGACGCCACATGGTGATTAAATTCCTGGTTGTAGAAGAGCTTGTCGCCTACAACATGATTTTTGGCCGTCCGACCCTCAACGAATCCAAGGCTGTCATCGTTCCCTCCCTCATGCTCGTCAAATTTGAAAAAGACGATGGTACAGTCGGTTCCCTTAAGGGGGACCAGAGGACGGCTAGGGAGTTCTATCTCTCTGACGTCAGGCCTACTATGGGGGCAGCTGGAGACGGCACCTCCATAGACCTTGATAACTGTGATACAGCAGTCCCGGCTCCAAGGGCAGCCGGTAAGAAAATAAAGGCGGGCCAGATGGATCCCGTCAAGCAAGAAAAATAGCAATCACTAGCCGGGGAAAGGTCAGATGATCAACGACCTCAGCCGGCTGGTGACTGCATTGATGTCGTCTTAGACGACAACCGTCCTGACAGAGCTGTCAAGGTTGGGACGCTTGCTTATGAAGGTTGGGAGCAGACCTGCTCCAACTTCTAAGAGAATTCAAAGACATCTTTGCCTTTGAAGTGGAAGATATGCCAGGCGTCAGCCCGGATCTAGCTGTCCACAAACTCGCCGTAGATCCTAAAAAGAAGCCGGTCAGGCAGAAAAAGAGGGATCATGGCGAGGAGAGATCTCAGGCGGCAGCGGTTGAGGTCAAAAAACTGTTAGAGGCTGGGTTCATCCGGCAATGCTACTACCCGGATTGGGTAGCAAACGTTGTCCTCGTAAAAAAGCCGAATGGTACCTGGCGGATGTGTGTAGACTACACAGATCTGAACAGAGCATGCCCAAAGGACAGTTACCCACTTCCAAAGATCGACAATCTGGTCGACTCTACAGCCGGTCATGCTCTGATGAGTTTCATGGATGCCTACTCAAGTTTCCACCAAATACCCTTATGGAAAAACGATCAAGAGAAGACAGCCTTCGTCCCTGATCAGGGGTTATTTTGTTACAAGGTGATGCCGTTTGGGTTAAAGAATGCACTAGCTACATTCCAGCGCATGATAAACACCGTCTTCATCAATCAGATTGGCAGGAATGTAGAGGCGTACATTGATGACATGATAGTCAAATCCAAGCTACAGATGGATCATCTACTGGACCTCCGAGAAACATTCACCACACTCAGGCGGCACCGGGTCATGCTTAACCCAAAGAAGTGTGTATTTGGTGTTGAGTCTGGGAAGTTTCTCGGATTCTTGATCGACCAAAGGGGCATAGAGGCTAATCCGGAAAAAGTACAGGCGGTCATTGACATGCGTTCTCCCCGCACTGTAAAAGAAGCTCAGAAATTGACCGGTTGCCTGGCGGCGTTGGGAAGATTTCTCAGCCGGTCAGGTGACAAGTGCCTCTATTTCTTCCAAGCCATCCGGAAGAGGTCCAGATTCGAGTGGGGTGAGGAGGCGGAAATGGCATTCC